ATTATTATTTTTGTTGTTATTATTCCACTATTTTAGGCCCAGAGAGCAAATTTTTCGGAGAAAAGTACTAGGCCATGGACAGCAGAGGATTTTAAGATAAGGTAAGAAAAGATCCCCCGTACATCTTTATTGTCCAGATCCTGGCACATTGGTTTGGTGTTTCACCACGCACATACACAAACACACACACACACACACACACACACACACACACACACACACACACACACACTCTCTCTCACATGCACACACAAACATGTACACACACGCATACGCACGCACTTGTGCACACTCATATTATACACATACACTCTTCCCTTACACACCCTCTCTTCCACACACATCTGTGCACATAACCATAATAATATGCATTATAAATATAGTATGCTTGCACTCACAAACAGGCGGACAGTCACATGCATAATAAAGGTGAACAATAATATAAACAGTGATGGTTTTAAGCTTCATACCTACTCTGTATTCTGATTGTAACTCAATGGTATTCCAACGCATGCTTTTTTTGTTTTAGTAGAGGTTTTACGGCGCTCGCAACTGCATAATAAGGTCATGTGAGGTCATATTGTCAGTTCTAGTCTGTATGTCCGTGTTTTACCGCCTTTAAAGTGTCGCTTGCAATGCACGCGTCTGGAGAAACAGGGATTTCGGGAATCCTATCACGTTTTCAAGGGTAATCATATAGAAAGTAATGTGAATTGAGCATGATATTGAGCAGCAATTCCCGCTATGCAAATTATGCGATTTATTATTCATTATTTTTGTTCTTGTGTTAAGTAGTTGGAGTAATCAATTAGGTTTCATTTTAGACGGATCTCATCTTTTAAAAGAATATTCCTGATGTTGTTTTTGAAGAATCGAAGAAAATGTCTATGGTGTGGACATCGCCAGTTTATTTCTCTGCAGTCTTCATTATATTCACAAAGATTATGACAGTCTTTCGTCTACACACATGTGCTGTAAGACACAGGCCGCCGTGGTATTACGCGTGGGTTCTAATTGAAAAGAAGCAGGAGTTTGAGGTTAACCGGAAATCGATAGCAATTTCCTGTCAGTCAAGCGGTTACCTCTGCGCCCCAGGGCACACGGTCGGCGTTATTGTCGACCTGAGGACCTCTCTCGATGGCCGAGATCACAGAGACCTGGACAGGTCATACCACGCCCGCGCAACTGAGCTTGAGGAAAGAACAGAAAGTAGTTTTTCTTTTTTTTAAATAGTAGTAATATGATAATCCAACTTTATCACAATAAGATGATAAGAATGTTTATAGTATATACTTTTATTATTGATGATAATGCTGGTAGTAATGCTGATAATTACAACGATAATAATGGTAATAATGGTAAAAATAATATTAATGATAATAA